TACTGTGGCGTAAACAGTAGAGACTTCTGTACAGTTGTTGTGGTGTGATACAGGCGTCTGATTGGATGGAGATGCAGGCGTCTGATTGGATGAAGACGTTACCACGGTGACGACTGTGTTTGGAATCTCCTCATACGTGCGATCAGTCTGAAAAACAACACATACGTCAATAATCTACTAGTTAATATAAATAATACTCTCTGTTCATCAATAAACAATCATTTAACATGTATTTCTGATCTTCTACAGGTAAAGATTTGAACACACACCTCTGTATCGCGCTGCATGTTTTGTTGAAATAAAGCTGCATGGAAATAGAGAGTAAGTCAATCTACACACTAAAATAGAAATTAATAATAATAACAATAATAATCACAAACAAACTGTTACCTGTCCCATATTTCCTCTTCCTCTTCTTCAGGATGATGAAGGTTCCAGAACACAGAGTCAGAACCAGCAGAACCGAACCCAGACCGCCAGCAACAGAAGCCAGATCTGAACAACACAACAATACAATGCTGATTCTGATTACACCGTTGAGTGATTATTAATATTCTTGTAATTGATATTTAAATCATTTGTATTATAGTACAATAGAATATTGTAATAGTCTATATTATATTGTGTAACTGAAATGAAACTGCAATGGTAAACCTCAACTCTTCAGAAGGAAACGCTTCTATCTGTGGTCGATGTTAAAGCATGTTAACCACACGAGTACGAGCCTCCACAAATGTTCAAACCAATTTCCTTTCTCCAAAATGAGCTTATTCTATGTGATCAGAGAGTTGCATTATGGGTAGTGTAGTTTGTGTGCTTACTAGTGTTTGTCTGATGGAGTTGAACTGTAGTATTTCCTGTTATTGTTTCAGTTTCTGTGTGATGAGTCGCTGACAGAGAGAAACACCAGTGACTGTGAATGTGTCGCTCATGCAGTGAGAACATGAACATATAAACTCTAAAGCTCTACATTCACACACAAACCATTCACATCACGTGATTATGAACAGAAGATGTATATTCTTTTATTCATAACACTGATTACTCTCAACTGAAAATATTTTAATGTTCATTCTAAAGACTCTTATACAAAGCAACTTGTACAGTTTTAATAAGCGGGAGCAAACATCTGAGGACTGAACCTTCAGTCTTCAACTTTAACACATTTAATCTCAAAGGAATCATCTAACATATGAGTTCAAGTACATTTGGATGCACAATATTCCAGAATATATTCAGACAGAACAGAAGAACTGACCTGATTGTGGACTCAGTTCTGTTGTACTGAAAGATGACGGTGTTTTTGAAGAAGTGCTGATGGTTGAAACCTCAGTGGTCTCATTACCTGAAGGGTCACAGGAAAGATCAACTTAAAACACTGAATTTAATTTTAAATAGGCCTACATACAATCTTATATTTAATCTCTGTTTTAATCACTCTGTTTCTTGTTGTGCCAAAGTTGTCCATCACTGTAACACACAGCCACTATACACTTATTACTGTATTTTACACTCAACACACTGAAGTACAAGCAGACAATCAACCCAATACAACTATATGAGTCAGCTGACAACACCGAATCCAGAAAAGGAAATAAACGGCAATAAAATCAAGAATCTGTGTAACTGAAGGAGAAAGCTGTACATCAGTTCAATGCAGAGATGCCGGTGAGTTCTCGGAGCTCGAGCTCTTCTCAGATGATCTAAAACAGTGGATATGTGGTCAGATCAGTACATGTTTCAGTTTTTGGGAAAAACTGACTTTGCGTTCTCAGTCCCATCCAGACTTTCATCAGTAAAAGGGATTGTTCACCCAAAAATCACGAGTGAGTTCACGTAGTGTAACAGCGCAGCGCTTCTGTGTTGTACGTCACACGTAGGCTCACTATTGGCCGACGCTGGTCATGTGTGTGACACAGAAGCTCTGCACTGTTACACTATGTAAACTCACTCGAGGCCCACAGATTGTATTGCATTTTACAAAATGATCCAACTTTTCTGAATTTGGGGTTTGCACAAGATTAATGACTTGATCTCTCACTCTCAGCTTGTTCCCATGCAGTTCATTTCTGCTATTGACAAATATAATCACTTACCATCTTTAACCAGCAACACAATCTCTGAATAGTCGTCAAAAATAATCCCCTCCACACCACACCAGTATTGGCCTTCATCCTCTGTTCTCAGATCAGTGATGGTGACGGTGAAAACTCTGGCCGTCGTGTCGTCAGTCAGAGAGAATCTCTCGTCTTTAGCTGGAGATCCTGATTCAACCATGATGATTCTAGATCCATAGATACACTCCCCTTTACAAAAAAACTTTGAATTTGATTCATATCCAGATTCATATGAGCATCTGATGTCAACTCTCTCTCCTCTGTATCCAGTAATTGTCTGTGAAGCTCCACCAACAACAGCTGAAAACACAAATATCATTATATAGAGCTGTTATGTGTGAGAAAGAGACATAAGCAGGCCAGAATAATAACTTACAAATATCCTCCATATGAGTCTGATGATCATGTGATAAAGAGGAAAACAAGAGAAGAAGTCAAACTCTGTGTAAAAGAGCTGAGAGTCTGAAACTCACCTGTACAGATGCTGGAAAAGAGCAGCAGGACGTCCAACATCGACATTTGACAAGCGTTTCGCTGAAATAAAAGAACAAATTCTGTGACAAACGTTACTGTCGTTCTCTTCCGTACTGAGAGAAAAATGTGTGTCAGCAACTGAAATATATATATCCTTCCCCTTTCTGTGTCTCTAACCACATCTAGCTCTACACGACATCAGTGATGATTCACCAAACTTTATATATAAGCAGTGTTTTACTCAGTGAGGAAGGGATGATCCACTTCATTATAAGAGGGAAGGAGTACCTGTGACATTTACAGTGTGTAAATATGAGTGTTTTACACAGCAATCCAGTGAACAACTCTTCTAGGACATAATAAATATAAATGATGAGATCAAAATAAAATATTATTGTATTATGGTTGTTGACTGTTATGTGTTTAATGAAGGCGTATTCATGTAAAACACACTGAATTAATGCCATTATTTTAAACATGATTATCCTATTGTTCTTTAGTAACGGTACAACTTCTCAAGTATCAGTTCTCTTCCGGTGTTCATTGTCATAAGAAAGAAGAGTCTTACACTTGTAGTCCAGCCGGCCGTTCACATCACACTGAATCCCTCACAAAAACACAATAGCATTTTCCCCACAGGCTTTTGGATTATCGCAAAAAACAAAAACTCTGTGATCAACAATAGTTTATGATACATACAAGTTCTGTCCTGCAACATAATTATCACATATGAACAACTTGTATGAATCATGAAGCTTAAATGCAGTTGCTAGAACTACACCAGGGTCCCAGGACCAGAGGCAAAGCTAGGGGAGAGCGGGAACAACCTTCTCCGTTTGTGTGAGTCTACTTAGGGTTCAGAGTATTTCTTTTTCCCACATTAATTTCACGTGTCTAGTACAATTATGTGGTTTTGTTTTATTAATACAGTGTATACTTTTGTCTTGATATACCTCGAAAGAATGGAAGTGAAATTATAACATGACCATGTGACAGATTAAAATGTTATCTGATCAAATCAAAAATATATACAATACAAACTAAAATATTTTCTCAATAAAATACAAGTATTAACTTTTTCATATAAAATAATGGCATTTTTTAATAATTAAAAAAATTAAATATTTTTTGAGTTTGACAACAAACACCGGAAAACACAGCTATGCTAGACAACATAGTTAAAAAAATTGTAATAATTAATCATTTCTGAACATTGACTCAGTCTTTATTCACCGTTTTCTGAATAGAATTCATAAAAGTATAGAACAGAATATCATATTTCTAATAGGGGCTCATGCAGTGTGACCACATGCCCCACCTGCACAACTGGGGTTTAAACCCTGCTAGAAACCCTGTTAGCGAAGCATTTAAGAACCATATCAACTGTTAGGTTACGCCTTACATATAGGAGATTAAAATAGAGATGAAAAATTAACATAAGACATTTGTTTTTGCGATGGTTAAATAAATGTTCAGTGAAATCTTCCAAAGAATTTTAGCGCAATTTTTTATCTATATAGTGTTGATATGGCAACTAGTGCGTAAATACACTAAGTTTCGTCACGCTAGCATGTGGAAGTATTTAAGACACGCGTGTTACAACTAGCCCTGCGTTAAGATCGGGCCCCGGGCAACATAACCAAGGCCCTTCTAAAATATATATTTTCATTACCTAGATGTATAATTATACAACACATAAAAAGTTTTCAAAACACATTCAACAGAACATAAGTTGTTTATTTTTTACAACATCAAAGTGTTTTTTATTAACAAAACATCAATCTTTATAATAGAAAATACAATAAAATATTCAAGATACAATCTTCATATTTATAACGGATTGTTCCCTTAAAGACGGTGACAGGAACAAGCAATGCTCCTATAGAAAATTATGGATGGCATCTTGCATTTAATCTTTATTTTAATAGTTTATCAACTAATTATGTCAACTCAACTAACTTAATGCTGAAGAGCTGCATAAACTACTAATGAAATAAATGTCAACTAAGTAAATGTAAAAGAGTAGCAGATTAATCGTTAAACGATCTCGATTCAAACACCCACGCGATCTTATTCATAACTGACCATAATTATGCTGTCTTTTATTCCTGTTTTAAGGTGTTAAGGTTTAATTGACACAGCTTGATATTGGCAGTGATAAATCAGACTGGTTAACTTTCGAAAGTACAATCTTCACTCTGCAATATTTAAATAATCTGTGTTTGCGCTGTCATGTATGAAGCAGCTTCACAAACAAACGGTCTTTCAACCACATATTATCAGTATTTATGCGTTACAAACATTTAAAAAAAGGGATAAAAGTTTATAGTTTGGGTATAAACACGGTGTTGATCAAAATAAGAGTAAATCATCTTTAAAAAAAGTATTTTGACACTTGAATGTATTGTGGGAGAATCACAATTTCCGTTTTACACAAGAAAATCGACGGAGAATCGTGGAGCTTCAAGCGGATCCTCGTCTGGTGTGATGTTTTGTGGATGTGTTGCTGTTAGGTAGTTATAATCACCGGCTGTATCTGTCAGCTGATTGGTCGAGTGGGTGTGAGTGGGGTTTGAATCAAGCTGCTGATTGGTTACTGTGGCATAACCAGTAGATTCATATGTGCAGTTGTTGAGGTGTAATGCAGGCGTCTGATTGGATGAAGATGAAGGCGTCTGATTGGATGAAGACGTTACCATGTTAAAGTCTGTGTTTGGAATCTCCTCAGACATGTGGTCAGTCTGAAAAATAACACATACATCAATTATTTAATAGTTTACATAGATTAAACACTCTATTGTTCAATAAATAATTATTTAACATGTATTTCTGATCTTCTACAGGTAAAGATTTGAACACATACCTCTGTATTGCGCTGCATGTTTTGCTGAAATAAAGCTGCATGAAACCAGAGAAAAGTCAATTTACACACTAAAACAAGAATATAATAATAAAAATACTCAGAAACAAACTGTTACCTGTCCTAGATTTCCTCTTCCTCTTCTTCAGGATGATGAAGGTTCCACAACACAGAGTCAGAACCAGCAGAACCGAACCCAGACCGCCAGCAACAGAAGCCAGATCTGAAGGCGACGCTAAACACATGATATTTACATGATGAAACACACTGCAGATTCTGATTATACTGTTACATAAACAACAGATATTTAATGTACTATTAAAGATATTGTAATATTGTAAATATACAGGTGTTATATTGTGTAACTGAAGTGAAACTGCAATGGTAAACCTCAACTCTTCAGAAGGAAACACTTCTCTTTACGATTGATTTCAAACCAAATTAATCAGAAGCTGATATGTGCATCATTTTAAGTTTATACAGTAGCTAAAATGTGTCTCAAAAATACAAACCAATTTACTTTCAAAGAGTGCTTATGTGATCAATAATGCTGCAGTTGCATTATGGGTAGTGTAGTTTGTGTGTTAGGCTGATAGAGTTGAACTGCAGTATTTCCTGGTGGGTGTTCAACTCTTTACCTGTAGAAGAAAAAACACTGGCTGTAAAATGACGTGTCAAACATTCAGTTGTTGTACATTTAATTCAAGTGTTGAGGAACATCACAACCTCTAAATGTTGTAATTGTGGTTTATTTTTCACAGAAGTTGAAGCTTTGATGAAATTCAGTTTCCAAGATGGTGTAAGTTTGTGTAAGACATTAATTATCTTGTCAGAACGAGCTGGAAACACGTAATTACAGGAATTACATCATGATCATAAACGCAGCATTAGAATAGTGTATAGAGGCTTTGATATCTCTCTATTCAATGCAATCAGACTAACTATTAATATTTTGATGGAAGTTAAGTTCTGAAAAGTTATGTAAACACAATAACTTCACATTAACAATATTTCCATCAAGACATATGAGTACAGATGTCAGCGGGTGCAGTGTGTGTGTGTGTGTGTACCTGTGCTGGTGTGTTCAGTGCTGCTGTTTGTATATGGACTAATGCTGGTTGTTGAGATCTGGACACGTGTTGTTGTCTCTGGAGCTGAGAAATGAAGAAGAGCCGTCAAGCCGTAATACATTCATAAAACAATAACACAGGAGTGATGAAGCAGATTGTTGTTCAGTATTGAAAATCAGGCACCTCTGATCACAATAAGCTCCACTTGTTGGTAGTTTGCATATTCATGTCCAGCTTTACAGCCGTACGGTCCAGCATCGTCCATCTTCAGGTTACTGATGGTCACTGTAAATGATCTGGTCTGACGATTATCCTTCAGTGAGAATCTGCCATTCATCGCAAAAGTCTGTATTCCATCAGATTCTAATATAATGACACGGTCTCTGTAATGTCCTCTGTAGAAGTATTTGTAACTGTAAGCATATAAATATCCTTCTGGATAAGGGCAGGTAATGCTCACTCCTCGTCCCTCTGTTCCACTCACTGTAACGTTCACAGACAGTGAACTGCTCACTGCACACACACACACACACACTGATAACATACACCATAATATTAGATAATAAACACTTTTAGTAGAGATCTTCAGCTCTTACCCGTCAGCAGAAACACACAAACTATCAGTGGAAACTTCATTTCTTCATCAGTTCAGTTCAGAAAATCAGTCTGAAACTCTCAGTAGTTCCTCACACGACTCTCTGAAACTCAAACAGCAATAATACTGCTCTCATCTGTCGGTGGAGAGTAAAATAATACGCTTGTTGCTCATCTCACGTGTCAAACTCTACTGTTTCTTTTCAGTGACTGTAGTTGTGTCCCGATTCAGAGGCTTCATCTTGCTTTACTTTTCTTTCTTTCTTTGTTTTTGTTTGTTTGGACGCGCCCTTCGAAGGATTGCGTCAGCGCTGCGCGACGAAAGCTGTCCCGATGTGAAGCTCTTTCGAATGCGGCCCCTTTCTTCTTTATTTTCTCTTTCTTCCACTTTCTTCTTCGCCGGTCAGCGAAGGATAGAACAAATGAACCTTCTCAGCTTGGCCTGTCCGAATTGCGCGCTGGTGTTGTGAAATATTCGGCGTCTGAGATTTTCTGTGTCGCTGGGCGGAGCTTATATGAACATGCACGAGTTTCATGTGTTGTGTGTTAAATTACCCCCAACTCTCTGCCGTCACCCCTTTTTGATAATGGACGTGGAATGCACTATCCAAACCTAAATGGTTGTAAGTAATTCAAGAATGCTTTGGAACTAAGTTTTTTTTTTTTTTTTTTTTTTTTTTAAGAAGCATTTCCAATCTGTGTAGACAACATGTATTGTGCTATTATAGGTTTGCCAAATTGCACGCGTATAAAAACATGTTATTGAACTTAAATATAGGCAGAGCCAGATTAGTACCCCCAGGGACCCTTGGCACTGAAGCTCATGGGCCCCCCTCCCCTACCTGACAACCACACCCTCTAAACCTCAACCAAATACAGAAATGCTTGAAAATACTCGCAATGCAACCAAATACAGATTTGGTCTCGGCAGGCTATTACCGTCGTAGTTTTATCAAAAATATGGTTAAACGTTGTGCCTGGGGCATTTGTAACACAGATACGCGTGTCCCAGAGAGGTTGGAGGGGGGTGTCCGTTTTTTTCCCTTCCAAAACCGAAGTCAAATCCTGACAAGTGTCGTCTAGCACATGCTGCTAATAAATAACATACAACGTTATACTCGCGTAGTCCGTTTGCTTTGTAATAACGATTATAGAAGTGAATAGAGACCAGCTTTGCATGAACAGTGTTGCTCCGTGATATGGTTAGTCCCACCCTCCGTCTCGATTAGTATATGCGGAGGTTAATTTTTTGACTGTGACCGGTAAGTTATGCTTTTGCCTCTATTTGGATGCCTTGTTGTTCCTTGCGTTTCACCTGTATGTCGTGAATATAGCCTTCGAACGTATATTGCAGCCCCTTTTGCCTACTTCTATCGGACACTTTATTTGCTGCTTTATAAAAGTTTGATAAAATTTCAGCAGGAAGAGCTGTCACAGCATAAGCCATGTTGATACCAGAGCCCAGATGAAGTTTGTTTGTCGGACGTAGCAACAGTAACTAAGGGGGGCGGGGCTTAGCCAAAGGCGAATTTGACACACACTCCCTGATTCAAAACAGAAGGTTGAATGGCTTGTGTACCTTTTTATAATTTAATGTGTTATTTAAAAAGGAATAAAGATAATACCCTTTAATAAACTGCTATACTCGGACATGATTTACTCACACCAGTGCTTTTAAGTCCTTTAATAAAGCAACAGGTCACAGTGGAAACTCATTTATTAATGAACATAAACCATTACTTTCTACAAAAGCTATGAGAAACATCACTTCCCTGCAAAAAAAAAAAACTCGAAAGGTGTGTTCACAGTTTCACACATAAAGTCGCTTATTTTCATTGGTGATGTGGGTGTGTTCAATGAAGCGACACAAGTTGAGTAAAGTTTAACTTTTGTTTCACCATAGCGTGGCGTCTTAGCATGTATTGTTATTGTTAAGGAAGACACATTTACTCAGATCTGCAAACATTTTTTTTTTTTTTAACATGAATATAGACAACACTACTATGGTACAAATAATCTTTCTCACAGATTTATTAAAAATATGATGACTGTTGGTGAGATTGCTCATATAGTATAGATTGAAAAGACTGAATGTAAGGACTGTAAGTATCTGTTGAGTAGTGATGAGAGTTTCTTCTTGAGAAGACTTGAAGTGTTACTGAAGAGACAGATTCTCATATTCAGAAGAGCCCGACTGGTGAACAGCAGGACTGGGATGGACAGACTGTGTGAAAGACTCATTGATTATTATCTGACTTTTGAAAGCACTCTTTTGCACGTGTAGTTTTGATATTTCTCTTACCGTGAGTGTGTCGTAGAGGTCATGTGATCTAGTCCTGAGGCCAAGAGCTGCATATGAGCCTGCACTGGGATCATCGTTCTACAGGGAAACGGAGAGAAGGAATTTACAGCACAAAAAAATGAGAGATTTTAAACGTTGTGAGTTCATGTCTCTAACAGAGTTTGTCAGTTTGTCACGAGATGTTTGAGCAGTCTGATCATTTCCCAAATTATGATATAATCTGACTTGATCACAAGTGAGACCAGCCATAAAAAACAACATCTCTAAATATTCAAAATAGCAAATTTTATTCCTTTAATGATATTATTCTTAGATTATCTCACCTCATTTATAGCAGATCTTCTGTTTATCCTTTTCTTCTGACTGTCAAAAACACAAACAAGTAATTTAATCGTTTCATATACAATTAATAATCAAAAATGATTATGAATTAGTTTGAAAATATATTTATGTACTCTTTATTGATAGATGTTTATTTACATAAAAAAATAAAATAATAATAATATGATGATGATGATGATGATGAAGAATAATCCTCCACATGCCGCTGTGATCACAATCACATTCCTACCAGCAACATGATGAACTGAAAGAGGAAGATCATCATGATTAACTCTCTAAACTGATGAATGATGTGAAGATACAGGAGTGTGTTAATAAAAGCTTCACCTGTGACAGTTACAGCGTCTGATCTCTGAGATCCATGTTGATTGTGAGCCTGACAGTAGAAGCGTCCACTCTGTAGTGCACTGAAACTCTGTCCAGATCCAACAGCTGAGGTTTCATTCTCCTTAAACCAGCTGAAGTTCAGAGCAGGAGGGTTTGAGTCACTGATGCAGTTCATAGTCACTGAATCTCCCTCCACTATTACACCAGATCCACGCATCAACACTGAGACGCTCCTGGGTGGGTCTAAAACAGACAAAATAAACTCTATATTAATTTTTCGCGATTGTTAATCCACTAATTTGTTTGTTACAACAGTTACTGAACCATCATTAACTCACACATGACATTTAAAGTCACAGCATCAGAGTATTTCTCTCCATGTTCATTGATGGACTTGCACTTGTATTCTCCACTGTCATCAGAGCTGATCTTTGAGATGTTGAAGATTCTTCCAGATCCTACAAACGTTCCTCCTTTAAACCAGCGGATTTCTGCAGGAGGGTTTGAGTCACTGATGCAGTTCAGAGTCACTGAATCTCCCTCCACTATTACACCAGATGGACTGATGGACACTGAGATGCTAAAAGGAGGGACTAAAACAGAGAAAATGGAGATTCACTATAGATATTAGAAAATTATTAATTTAGATGTGAACCCCCCCCCCCCCCCCCCCCCTCCCCTCAGAGGTCTTGTCTCATTACTTGACGTTTGAAAGGAAAAATCGTCCTGAATTTGGTTATTATATTTATATATTAGCACACTCATCCGAAAACTGCAAATAACCATGAATTAAGCAGTACATTGATCTTTATATAATAATATGAAGCTGCTTTCCCATGTACATGTTCTGCAATAAATATGTTGCATGAATCACTTACCCAGTTTAACCAGCAACAGAATCTCTGAATAGACATCAGTAATACTCCTCTTCACAGCACACCAGTATTGGCCTTCATCCTCTGTTCTCAGATCAGTGATGGTGACGGTAAAAACTCTGGCCGTCGTGTCGTCAGTCAGAGAGAATCTCTCGTCTTTAGCTGGAGATCCTGATTTAACCATGATGTTTCTATTTTTATAGATACACTCCCCTTTACAAAAATACTTTGAATTTGATTCATATCCAGATTCATATGAGCATCTGATGTCAACTCTCTCTCCTCTGTATCCAGTAATTGTCTGTGAAGCTCCACCAACAACAGCTGAAAACACAAATATCATTATATAGGGCTGTTATGTGTGAGAAAGAGACATAAGCAGGCCAGAATAATAACTTACAAATATCCTCCATATGAGTCTGATGATCATGTGATAAAGAGGAAAAACAAGAGAAGAAGTCAAACTCTGTGTAAAAGAGCTGAGAGTCTGAAACTCACCTGTACAGATGCTGGAAAAGAGCAGCAGGACGTCCAACATCATGACATTTGACAAGCGTTTCGCTGAAATAAAAGAACAAATTCTGTGTGACAAACGTTACTGTCGTTCTCTTCCGTACTGAGAGAACAATGTGTGTCAGCAACTGAAATATATATATCCTTCCCCTTCTGTATCTCTAACCACATCTACCTCTACAGGATCTTAAAAGAGCTCATATGTGATGTTTCATACAGTAGTTATAGGTCAGTCTCACTTTAGTGCATGTATTTTTAAATCCATATTTGAGGTGATTGTATACAATCCCCAAAGTCAAATCTTATAGCATTTATGGATAAGTTTGACTTAGTTGACATCTGGAGAGAAATGTATCAGATATGTAATACAGTACACCTGGAGTAACAAAGATCGTTCAAGGCAGTCCAGAATTGATTATTGGTTGATTTCTAAAACATGAAGTAGCAATAATATCTCTATTAATATTAGTAAGAGCCCACTAACTGACCGTAATGCCATTTACATTTTAGTTAATTTATCGCAAAATATCGCAACTAATGCCTGCAAACCGTCGCTCTGGAAATTAAATAGCTCACTCCTGAAATATGAAAAGGCCAAACAACAGATTATTGAACTAATCCAAATTTACTGGGAAAGGGCTAAATCACAAAAAGCTTATGGACGTAACTGGGAGCTTTTAACCCATTAACCGCTGCTTATAGATGTCATATTAACCCCATTAACCCCTGCTGGTAGATGTCATATTAACCCATTAACCCCTTAATGATTTAAGGGTCAAGAGCCCAACTTAAGCAAACACTGATCTCCATAATGGTGACTTAAAAAATACGTTTTTCTCCTTCAGTGATTCTGCTTGTTAACATCAGGTGTCTTCAATATTGGTAATTAAAAAAAAGAGTTCTTAATTCATATTTGACGTCAGTCTGTTATTCCGATATTTTTGTTTAAAAAAATGTGTAAATTTTACTCATTTTAAATGGTTAACTTTTAAGGAATTAATTTGGTTAATTATTACTCAATCCTAATTTGTTAAATTTAATTAATAATATTGCTTGTAATCTGTTGCCTCATTTTAATTGATTAGATTTAACAAATTCATTCGTTTTAATTTTTACAGTGTGGTTACTGTCACCCACTGACTGACTATACAGTGTGGTTACTGTCATCCAGAGATGGGGGACTCGAGTCACATGACTTGACTCGAGTCAGACTCGAGTCGCAAATTTAAGGACTTGAGACTTGCTTGACTAAATTAAGAAAATGACTCGACTTGACTTTGACTTGAGATCCAATGACTTGAGACTTGACTTGACTTGAACTGTATGACTCGAGAATGACTTGATATACATTTTAATATAAATCATCGCAACATCCATTGATAAACAAAATGAAAGCAACGGAACCATTGACGTCAGTCATCAGATTCTGCGCGATTGCGTGACGCTGCACAAGCCCAGAAATAGCCTACATCGCGGTGAGCGCGCTAAATACAAAAACATCTCCCTGCATCATTTCTTTTTGGATATAAACACTAGAAAATGACCATATTCATGCAAGAAGATTTGTTGTACGCATAATAACTGGCAAGGGATATCGACGACCATCACAACCTCGAACAGTCGAACTTCATTCACTACGTCTAAAAGTAAGCTATGGCTTGTTTAACCTGTTTGTTATACTTAATTTGACTATCTTTAAATCTAGAGAGAATAATATTGGTCAAAACAGCATGCCTCTTTATACACAATTATGTTTTCAAATGTAGCTTAATGTTGTCAATATTCAAATGATAATTATGGTATATGTTTTGTATAACATTTGCCACATATCTTTTTAAATCATGCTTTAAAGCCAAAAATGTTGTTCTTTCCAATGACGAAAAACAATATAGAAAACTGTTAGTTTTGTCGTTTATGTTTCTCTTAATGTTATCAAGGGGTTGGTGGCAAAAAATGCCAGCAGAATTAATATTCACCCAAAATTCAAAATGTGGTGGAAAAATGGCCCTATGAGTTATTTTCATAATTATAACATATATAAAAAAATATTTCCAGATTATTGGCGCGATTGCAAATGTGATGATTTTATAAAACAGTTCAGTAAACAAAGAGTGAATATTGTGATGTGACATTTTAGACATAATATTCCAAATATTTTCTGTTTTTGCTCTATTTCTCCAATGACAATAGTTCCAAACAAGCCACAGAAAGAGTTATGCGTATTTGTGATTCAGTGACCTAGTTGCTTAGTTCCTGAACGAATCTGTCATTTTGAACAAATCAGTTGACTGCTTCTATGACTCGTACATTAAGACGGTGATTTGGCGCCACCTATTGGCGGTTTTAACTTCATAATAGGCTAAATGCCAACGGCTGTTATATAACTTATATAAAGGGGATGCCAGTTTGAAGAATGCCATTTGGTGGCATAGGAACCATTATACTTGAATTGTGAATTGTTTAATACCTTTTAATGGTCTTCTGCAATGTTTGAGGCATATTTTTTTTTTTCATGCTTTAATGTTGGCCTAATTTCAGTTACATTTACATTTTAGGCTATGTAGTTTAAAATTTTATTTTTTTATTATTTATTTTATTATTTTTATTGTAGTAACCACTCAGCTGTATGTGGAAATGCATATTTAAAAAAAATAAATATGTTGCAAATAAAACCATAGTCCACAACTTATGTAGTTTTAACTTATTTTAATATATAAATTCAGTGAAATCATCAAACGTTTGTATGACTTGCCAGTGACTTGTGACCCAAGCTACGACTTGACTTGACTTGCTTGACATAAGGCAGTGACTTGACTTGACTTGCTTGCTTTTATAAAAAATTGACTTGGACTTGCTTGAGACTCGAAGGTTAAGACTTGAGACTTGCTTGTGACTTGCACATGTGTGACTTACTCCCACCTCTGCTGTCACCCACTGACTGACTATACGGTATTAATATTCAAATATTCAAATATTTACACCAGTCATACATTTATTAGACAAGATTACTTAAGACTACTGTCCCATTTTTCAAATTATACAAAACATTAAACAAAAGTGTGAAGCAAAATAAGGGGTTTGGTTGTTTGTTGATGAGGTGTCTGTGTTCAGTCAGTCTGTTTCTTAACAATAGTGTGATATATCGACTCTTCTTTAGCAGATTCAGCTGTAAGACACTGATAAACGTGACTCTGTCTACTGGCGTTCATTTCTGTGTAGATCTGATCTGGACTCAGACTGTTAGTCGCTGCATCAGCAACATTTATATAGAAGAGGTTGGTGTCGGCTGGTTCTGTGTTCGCAGGTCTGTGAATCTCGTTTGCTGCCGAACTATTATCCCTTTGAGCTGTGTTTGAGTTTGGCAGGACAGTCGGGCCCCCTTTATCATATTCATTCTGTACATTGGAGGAAGGAAATGATTGCTTGGTCATTATTGGGCAAGAACATGAACCTTGACTTATACTTGAGAAGAACTATAGTTAATAATGATGGAAATGTTCAAGGAAGATGATTCTAACTCACCTCTTCTACTTTTCTTAATGGCAGATGAAGCCTTGCAGTGAAGAAGGCCAGACCTGTGATAGATGCATGTTATATAAGTTTCAAAACTCCCAGTATCTGAATTCAGTCCTTCATGTTTGCTTGAATCATGACAATGTGTCAATGTCTCATTTCTTTTGTTTAGACAGCAAACCCAAGTTAGACAGGTTTTTTTTTACAAACCCAATTGTTTTAATCTGAATGATTATGTCTGTTTTCATGTAGATTTTCCATCATTAGGGACTATAAGTGTCCACACTGTCTGAATTCACTGGTGTAATGCAAGTTTTATTTATTAATATATCGTTCAAAAATATTACCACAAGTCAGCTTTTTCTTTCGTACGGCCAACACAAACAATACTGCACATATCAGGAGCAAAAACAAAACTCCTGCAATGATGATGCCAATTGAACCTGAGAATAGAAAAACATATAAAATCGCTAAGCATCTGGTTCACAGAATGAAATGAAAGATGATTACATGAGAGAAATATCAGATGAGTTGTTGAGAGGCGTTTACCTGTGTCAGGTGAAGAAGTTTGGGGTAAAGGGGTTTGAGCCAATGCATCTGATGAAAGATGTGTGCTTGTAATTAAAAAACGGGCTGATAGTTAAAACTTCAGTCGTCTTCTTATTTAAAGGGGTAACAATGAAGATGGACTAGAATTCAGTGATTCTACTAATACATGAGCACACTCAATTGAATTCAAAACAGATACAAACATTAATTTAGACTATTGCTATAGTTCAATTAGTAGAAGTGTCATTAATTACTTACCCAGTTTAACCAGCAACAAAATCTCTGAATAGACATCAGTAATAATACTCCTCCCCACAGCACACCAGTATTGGCCTTGATCCTCTGTTCTCAGATCAGTGATGGTGACGGTGAAAACTCTGGCCGTCGTGTCGTCAGTCAGAGAGAATCTCTCGTCTTTAGCTGGAGATCCTGATTTAACCATGATGTTTTTATTTAACAATAAACACTCCCCTTTACAAAAATACTTTGAATTTGATTCATATCCAGATTCATATGAGCATCTGATGTCAACTCTCTCTCCTATGTATCCAGACATTATGCTGTAAGCACCAACAACAGCTGAAAACACAAATATCATTACAAGGATTAGCATGTTTACTGTATTAAGAAAGACTGACTGCTGCAGGAATACAAGACCAGTGAAAATTAGAGACGTTTAAAAGTCACACATTCAAATTTTGAACTCACAGATATGAATGCAGGCCCAGAGAATAAGAATACGGTTCCACATGGTGAAGCTTTACGGCACTTTTTTGACTAAATAAAATCCTTAAACATTGACAAATGTCTCTTTCTTCCGTACTAGCACACGTATGGTGTAAGGCTTAACTTCTCCTTCCCCTTATTTCCACATTTATCACTACACCGGGTCCTATAATATCTTTGTCACATGCCTGTCCTGTCTTGTGCTGCACATGGGTGTTTTGTTATTTTGGGCCATGTGCTCTTGTCGTTGTCTGATCCCTCCCCCTCCTTACCTGATTATTGTTTGAGTTCTTCCACCTGTCCCCTCTTGATTAGTTCCCTTCTTAAGTCTCCTCTTGTTTGCAGTCTTTGTCGGATCGTTGTCAAATGTTTCCTGTTCCCTGTGATACTCAGCACTTTCAGGTTCAGTTATTGTTTTATTTTTACTTCTTGTGTTTTTCCCCCCTCGTGGGTTTTTGCTTTGTGTTTGTTTATTTTTTGTAATAAAGTTAATTTCTCCTGCACTTGAGTACTCACACCGTTTTGCCGTGCACATCCCGTGACAATCTTGGCATTAAAAGCTTACTGTGCATTTCAAAACAGATTTAGTTTATAACAATCTGTTGTGTTATTATGTTGTTATGTGGCCTCAGAGAGTATTAAGACCTGTCACTCGCACTTAAAAATGTCAGAATGACATTGATAAATATCAAACAAACTGGATATTTTCTCCTCGCTAACTTAATTACTTTTGCCCAATTTCATTTAATCAGTTTCATGTTTTAAAAAAAGCCACTTGATTTGACATTTTATTATATAATGCAATGACAATCAATCATTTAAAATTGTGCCTTTTATTTATAATTTTATTATTTTAATTGTATGATCAAGGAACAAATGAGTCACTGGACTGACCTGCATTGATTTAGTTCTCAGGAGAGACTCTTCATTGATGAAGGTGTGCAACAACGTTCAAGTAAACACTTGTTTACTTAACACAGTACATGGAGTCTGTAAATAGTATATAGTGTTTACAACAATAGAAGAGACTTGTCAGATCGACCAAATTTACAGTTTGGATCAGTGATGTGTGATTGGTGTCGAGGTTGAACAGATGAATAAAGTGTTTCATTCAGTTGGGGTTTCTGCTCAACTCCACAGACTGTCTGATAGCGCAGTGACTTTCAGTGTGGTATAATTCAGAGAGTAGGGTTGATGAGGACAGAAATGAGCACACAAATGAAACATTTCCTTCTTTCCAATCTTATTTTCAAGCAGTGCTATATTATCCATTCACCAGACAGTGCTGATCCATACATGGTTTCTGCTGAGGTGTCTGCAGTCGACTGCCTCGTCACCGAGGTTCCCTTCTTCTCTAAAATATATGAATTAATTTTATGAGCCACTGTGGAGTTGTTTGACTATAGGTCTAAATGGTATCCTTGGTTATGGTAAATCTTTTTCTGCGAAACATTTCTCCAGACTGTGCCTCACTGACAAGGTGTTAGCACAGTAAGAATTTAGTGAGGATGATCTGCGGGTGATATTGCGTAACAGAAACCTAAATGATGAACATTATAAGTATCTTGCTGACAACCCTAATGAAAACTCCTGTTATGGTATTAAAAGAAATTCTGTACTCAATACCTTGACTTACTTTAATGTATCAGAGAACTTTGTGCTGGATATTATGCATATTAATATTAATGCAGGGAGTTGCACAGTATGAAGTGAAACTGCTTTTTGAATACATGAGTTGCAATCTAATTTCAGGCCGTTCCATTCCTCAAGGATTGTATGCCTTCAACTATGGCTATTTGGACAAAAATAACCGCCCAACCAGGGTCAACCTTCAACAAGCAGGAAACAGCATAGGACTCAACGCAAGTCAGACATTGTGTCTAATTAGGAACATTCCTCTCATATTTGGAGATGTAGTCCCAGAGGAGGATACACAGCAAAATTCCCAGTGTTAAATTAACACTGAGGGGGCTTTTACACTGGGCTCGTTTGCTGCGGTCCGAGCCCGAGCACGTTTGTTCCCGGCACCCCCCGCAGCGTTGGTCTGGTTTCACACTCAACTTGATTCTATCGAACCCTGGTGCGTTTGCGTGCGTATTACGTCATCGCAAATGTGCACGCCGCATGATAGAAAACAGAACTCAGGTCAATATTTCGTTTTTTATTAATTCGCTGCTATTATGCGTAGTTGAGTGAACAATACAGGTTTTCTCTGCGTGTGTCACATTAGGTGGCCTTCTGCTGCTTGCAAACGGACTCTTTTGAGGAGACAGTGGACTTCCAAATTTGTTGCCCTGATTCCACGCGCAATGCACGAATACACTGCAGGCTCACTCTCGCTCGTATCCAAGGTAAATCATCAACACTATATCATCTCTTACAAGTGTTTTATTTAACTGAATACATCACAATAAGCTAAAACGCATGCGCAGGTTACTTTAGTCCATGTTGATTTCACATTCACGCGAACCGCTGCACGGTTCGGGAACAACCGAACTCAGACCACCTCCTCCAGGTAGTCTCGGGTTCGGTACCCCAGTGCGCACCCGGGTCCGCATGACAGCGTTGATATTAGTGATTTTTCATGCGAACCGTGCCATTCCGAACTAAAATGCCAGTGAAAGCCCCCTAAGAATTATATAAAGTCTGAGCAGAGTGTTAAATGAACACTGAAGCTGTGTTTAAGTTAATGAGATAGTTAAGTGAAGAATTGAGTGATAATTGAGCAATTTAAGTCACCATTATGGCGATCAGTGTTTGTTTTAGTTGGGCTCTTGACCCTTAAATCATTAACTTTAGATTATGTGTGTCTGCTGTACCTGAGTTATAACAGACAGATGAACAAATAGAAAAGGTGATCTGATGCTGTTGGTTGTGTTTTAACATATTCATTATATGACCTGAATCACTGAACTCATTGAGAGCATAATTTCTGAGTTAAGTTTAACTTATGGATTATAGCAGCACTTTTATTGTAGAGCATAGCGTTTGGATCCTTTTCAATGAAATCCAAATGATCAAATCAATTACAAAAAAAAAAAAAAACGTAAAGAAATATTTTATGTAGGCACACACAGACATCAAGAATTGGCGTGTGAATCTCAGCAATGGTGACAAAAAGATAACCTCTGAACATAAGCTCATTATTTATTCATGCAGCAATGCATGATGGGAGCCATGAATTAGTTTTGATTGGTGGCACCCAGAATGCAATACAACATGCTTTATAATTGTCACCATTGTTGAGATTCACAGGCTGATTCTTGATGTCTGTGTACCTAAAAAAAACTGTTTTTGTTTGTATAAGCGAAACTTTTAAGAAATTATTTGGATTACATTGTAATAGTTAAAATCATTATGTTGTACAAGGACAGTGCAGCTATAATTAATAAAGTAAACCTAACTCAGAAATTGGTCTCCACATGAGTTCAGTAATTCAGGTCAAATGATTGTGAAATAATGATTATGTTAAAACACAATAACACCACCATGTAACTCCTCTTACATATTGTTAACATTATATTTTCCCCTTGCATCTCTCAAGGAATGACAATATTTTTTAAGCATCTGACAGTGGAGCATCATCGATTGTTCAATGAGTTGTATCCTTCTAGTAATCTGATTCCAAAGCACCACCTTATGATTCACTACCCTAAATGCACCAGGCAAATTGGCCCATTAATTCATGTATGGACTATGAGGTATGAAGCAAAACATAGGTTTTTTAAGAAAATTTTCAAAAACCTGATCAAATCACTTGCAAAAAAAAACACATCAGTTCGCCATTGACTATCACTGGGAGCACTGTACTATCAAAGGTATTGAGTCTGGCCCTGTTTCAAAAGAATTGTTGTCCGACCTTGAAAACGGTGATTTTATTTCTGAGCAGCTCCACATTGATCTCTCAAGTGAAGTAACGGTCCCACCGTGGGTTAAGTGTCTTCGTACGGAGTATCGTAGTGGTCTTGTTGTGTGTTTAGACTTGGTTAATGATGCACCTGTATTTGGAATTTTTTTTTAAATTTTAAGGACAGAATTTTTTTTGGCATCATGTATGGAATCAGAGTTTGTTGAACATCTTCATGCTTTCAGTGTTGTTGCACAAGAGAACAGCCTTGTACTCAAAAAGCCTGACGAATTGTTTTACCACAAGCCGTTTGATTTACAAATGTCCTATGGCAATGACAGTCTATTTTACGTCGTTTTGGACTGAATTCATGTCATTTTAAAGCACTGGTGTTCTGTGCTGGAATAAAGTTTTGAAAGAGTAATATTGATGTGTTTATTTCAAAGTGAATTTATTATTTTCAGATTAAATAATTGTCAGTTTATTTTACAGTTGATGTTTACAGTTTACAGGTGATGTAGAACCCTAATAAGAAAAAACAGGTAACTCCTTTAGTGTTGTTTTTATTTGTAAAAAGGTGTTCTATCAATTATGGTGTAATATTTGACTCCAATAAGGTTGAGAAGATTGTGATTTCCATTTTTTTTAAGTGTTAGGTCAACACCAGAACAGTGTAGAATTTTAACTCTGCCAGTGTTTGCTACAAATATGCACCCAGCTCTGTAACAGTGTTGTTGTTCTCTGCACTGGTGTTAATATTTTACTCTCTTAGTGTTCATATCGTAACACTGTGTCGGTGTTGCGAGAGGCAACACTTTTGAAAGTGTTGAACTAACACTTTTGTGGGTGGTTCCCATATATACACTTTTAAAGTGTTGAAATTAACTCTATTGGTGTAGATTTCCGGATTTCAAATTTTCTGTGTAAAAAATACACAAGCGTCGCGTTTCCACTATCCACCAGAATGCCATATGACACAAACAGTAAACACAGAAACTTATTAGAAAAGTTCAGCTGATATGAATCCAACAGCTTATAAAACTATTATTACATAACTTATAAATATATTACATATACATATATATATATATATATATATATATATATATATATATATATACAAATGCTGAAAAGACACTAACTTTACACTTTTATAGAAGTTTAAACCTGGGTGAAGTAGGCCTACAGTTTGCCTTCCTCCTTCGTGGTACGATAAAGTATTTACTTCTCTCAATCTGTCTCACCATCCTCGAGACATATGCTGTGATGCAATTGTGACGTATCGAGATTTTTAGTCACACACATTTCTATACAGACACTGAGACTTTTTCTATGGCGATTAGTATCTTCCCCTGGCTAGAAACAGTGGACATTAGATTTACAGTACATGTAATGCGTGAGAGCTCATGAGTCAAAATAATAATTTACAGTCTTACACTATTAGACATTAAAGTTTATTTATTCAATTATTTTTCTTTATATACACACTACCATTCACAAGTTTGGGGTAACATTTCTTACTGAAATTAATACTTTCACAGATTAAACTGATCAAAAGTGATAGTAAAAAAATACCTTTACATTGTTAGAAAAATAAAATCAGCTTTGATCACAGGAATTAATTACGGTTTACAATAGATTCACGTAGAAATATTGCTGTTTTGATTTAATTTTTCATCAAATAAACACAGCCTTTGTGAGAATAAGAGACTTATTGACCCCAACATATAAGAACATATTAAAATTATTAAGGGGAAAAAAGGACAGGCTGCATGTTGTCAGCCAGTAATCTGATCGATACTGTAATAAATCGACTCTTGAGCAAAACCAGGGTTCATTTCTGTGTAGATCTGATCCAGACTCTCTGCTGGAGCAGAATCAATGTAGTTGGCGTCTTTGCTGTGGGTCTGTTGTGTGTTTGTAAGTCTGTGAATATCCTCGACAAAAGAACCTTTCTCCCTTTGAGCCATGGATGAGTTTGAAAGTACGACTGGGCTCATTTTCAGATAATCATCCTGTAAAGAGGACGCTTCATATCAGCAATGAAATCAGTGCACTTTATCAGCATCGGTATGCATGCGGTAATACTCGTGAATGTGATATGATAGATTACTGACTTACAACAATGTGATCTGATGTTGTCCTGGTGTGATAAGACACAGAAACTGGAGAAAAAAAATACATGTATTAATTGCATGATAAATGTTAGTCCCCTTGTGGTGAAAATCAAGCTTTTAATGTTGTTTATATGTCTAGGTGGTGTTTTTAATGCTTTAAACGATGTGTAAATTCATAAGTCGACACCATTGCTGAGTATTTGCTTAAAACTGCAGTGAACCAAATACAGTCTCAAAAACACAGTCATTTTGGTGAACAAAGATGAGTTTTAGGGATAAAAATATTGACTACATGGGGATTTTAAAGAGTGAGTGAGTGAAGATGGTGTACATAAGAGGAAGTCTTCTCAAGCCGACTCACCTGACAGCTTGCAGGTGGCGGCCCATTTAAAAACCTTAAACAGAGCGAATGGACACACAACTAGAAGTGTGCCGACACACACCAGACTCAACGCGGTCACAAACCAGAGGTAAGGTTCTGTAGAAAGAGGAAACGATCTGACACACCTGATAAAAACACCATTCATTTGTGTGAAAGAAAGAAACAGAGAGAGGAAGAGAGAGAGAGAGAGAGAGAGAGAGAGAGAGAGAGAGAGAGAGAGAGAGAGAGAGAGAGAGAGAGAGAGAGAGGGAAACCCTCACAGATTTCTTCAGGACTGGTGATGATATTAGATCTGTTAATGAACACCAAGACACAAGCTGTGTGTTTGAGAGAAGTTGTTTGTGTAATTAAAAGATAAGGATCAGATAGAATGATAAGAATGAACAATAGAACAAACTATACAGATCAGAACACGTGAAATATGGATAGATATAGATAGATAGAACCAACCAGACGGTATGAAAGATAAACAAAACGAATGAGTGAAAGAGTGAACTGTGCAAAGGACAGACAGAATAATATGATACACAGATAGACAGATCACCCTGTTCTCCTGTCTCGGCCCAGTTCTGTGCTGTGATGTTTGCAGGACTGTTTGTGCTGCTGACAACCACTAAAACACAATCATTTGAAGGAAGTTCATTAAAATATTGTATGAATAGGTTTTTTTTGTGTGTAAACAATAAAAATTATTTTCCTGGTTTACTGTCGTACCTCTTGGTAATGATGTTGTGGGTCTCTGTGGTTCACCTGTGCAGAGAAGGAACGTGAACAGGAAAGATTCGCTCCTTCAGTATTCAGTCATCCAAGCTAACAGGGAATGTTCCCAGAACTTTACAGAACTTTCTGGCAAGGTATTCTCAAAGTTATGAACAAACATTCTTCCAGTAACATATAGAATGTCCGCTCAAAATGATATGGTTCTAAGTACTGTTTTTAATGTCAGCACACCGACCTAATCTTATTGAACAAGGTCTAACATTTAAAAATATTACTTGTTTTAGAATGTTCCTTGTTTTAGAATGTTCCTTGTTTTAGAATGTTCCTTGTTTTAGAATGTTCCTTGTTTTAGAATGTTCCTTGTTTTAGAATGTTCCTTGTTTTAGAATGTTCCTTGTTTTAGAATGTTACTTGTTTTAGAATGTTCAGAGAACATTCAAAAGTAACGTTGCTATAATGTTTGCCAAATGTTATGTTCCATTTATGATCACATTACCAAGACATTTTTTAAAAAACATTCTTAAGTGAACACTCAGATATAACGTTCAGCAAAATGTTCTTAGAATATATTTTTGTTACCTGGGATGTGCGTGAAAAATAGAGATTATAGATGTTAAAGGACTCTCACCTTTTCTTCTGACAGTTAGTTGTATTTCAGTATCGGGATCAGGCAGCATTTTAACATCTACGCCGAAGGTGTACACGTCAGAATCCTCTGAGATCAGTCCGAAGATGGTGGCGGTAAGAAAGTGCGCGGATGTGTTGTCAAGAAGAGCGAATCGTCCTTGTCTGGTCCACCTGTTGGATTCAGTGGTCTGAACCAGTTTCTTAAAGAATAATCCATCTGATCTGCCGAAGTACTTGCTTTTTCCCTCGTAGTGCGATGGGTATCCGACGTGAAACGTAAAGTCTTCTCCCTCATATCCAATCTCAGTGACAGTGCAACTAATGTCCAGCAGACAGACTGGAAATTAAATGAAATGACTAGAAATTAAATTGTGATTTCTGTAATACACCGACAGAAATAAGCAGCAGTCCATATGCATATTCCCTGTAGTCCATCAAGTGAAACGACAATTGGCAAGTTTAAGATAGCCGCTGACATTAGACTAGCAATTAGCAACTCATAGCAGTGACGTGAAGAGTATTGTGCTTTCCGAGCAAAAGCTCGTACAATTTTCACAAGTTGTGTCACTACATTAACTGTTTTTTTGTTTTACAACTTCGTACAGATTTACAATAAAGAAAACTATGAAAATCACTTGATTTCAAGCTTGATGTTAAATGAAGCTTCTCTCATTTGAAGCCGTTTGATTCTTTTAAGTGAATTTGTTCAGATTAGACCGTTCAAAACTAGAGCTATTCAACCAAAATGACTGACTGATTCATTTCAGTCGGTGTGCCATTTTACATTTTTTTTAATGAAATATACACGTAATTTTTTTAAATATTATTTAATAGGATTTAAGAGTTAATAATATAGTAGTTAAATACGTTTTATTGTGGTGTTTTACTTGTGGTAGTGATCTATTCAGATGATGTAACCCTTAAGATCCTAATTTTATGAACAAGCAATTATATTAAACAGAGTATTTTATTAGTAGATACAATATATTTTGATTGAACTATAGATTACCAAACTAGAGTTTCAAAGTAGTTTTCCCAATACTAATGCAGACAGAATTTATTCAGAAATTAAGATACTGCTGTTTTATTGTAAAGCGGTCGCTAAAACTCACATGTACAGATGCAGAAACCAAAGACTCTTGCTGTCCACATGCTGAATGGTTTAAACTGTTTTTGATGGTGTGCAGCGTATAAAACTGCATCTGTCTTTCTGTCTGTCTCTCACTTCCTTGTTTTTTATTTGGGTCCAAAACATATAAGACTTTAGTTGTACAAAGGCAGCTCAACTGAGATTTCTCAATATAATCAACTTCCCTAACTTTTCACCAGTATGCAGCCTTCTCTTTTCTGTATAATTGCTTGCACAGGAACAAACATTTAAACACAATTAACAATTATGAAAGTCAATTTTACGCATAATGATGCTCCAATTTTTTTTAAAAGTAGTAAAAATCTTCAGCAAAATTGTAATTTCCACAACGTAATTGTCAGTCTGCACCACTCTGTCTTCATCTGCACTACACTTCCCAGAATCCTTCTTGTCACCTGCACATCCTTCACCATTACCCGCACCTGCCAGCTATCACTCACCGTCTTCAGCTGTTGTCCTCATCATTCCTCTGTGTATTTTAGTTCCTCTCATGTCAGTGTTCAAAGTCGTTTTTATTTGTGTTAATGTGTATGTGTTACTCCCGTGTGTACTATTAAATTCCTTGATTATCTACAAGTCCTTCGTCTACAACCGTTTTCTACAACCCAGAAATGTTACAGAATAACCGACCTTGAAAATAGAACAAAGATGGCTGAAGACAGGCTCCTCACGATCCAGCAGAATGGATGATCTTTTGGAGAAGTAAATTGAAGTGTTCCTGAATGTTTCCCATCTGGTGAGCTGGGGTAATTCTACGATTAATGCCTACTTCCAGATGAGACTGGATGATGATAACTTATTCTGATTCCTCACTCTTGGTGATTTGTTATAGGTCCATACCGGACTTGATTAACTATGTCCTTGATTTACATGGTTCAGGTTTCTTTGTTGATATAGCAGAAGACAATCAAAATCATCATTCAGTCCCTATCCGGAAGCATGTAGACGCCCCAGTTCACCCCGAGCCAGCACCCTCTATACCTCTCCAAGGGTTCCATGTCCTCCTGTTCACCCAAGATGACCACGGAGGAAAAGCCAGCGAGCCCTGCCACCAGATTGGCTCCTAGACTTCCTAGGATGATGGCCAGCATGACCGATCCACCGCTGATATCAGTGCGATCGGCCAGAACGACCGCTGCCACGGCCAATCCAGGGTCTCGTTCTGGTGAGACCACCCTTCAAGAGGATCTTCACGTCACGTCATGTCTGCCGAGCCTGAGCTCCACGTCAGCCCTGCCGAGCCTGAGCTCCACGTCAGCCCTGTCGAGCCTGAGCTCCATGTCAGCCCTGCCGAGCCTGAGCTTCCCGTCAGCCCTGCCGAGCATGAGCCTGCACTTCATGTCAGCCTTGCTGAGCCCGAGCCTGCACTTCACGTCAGTTCCGTCAAACCAGCGCATCACGTCATGCCCACCGAGCCAGAGACTATACACGTCATCCCCACCGAACCAGAGCCTTCGACGCTGGTCCCGTCCAGCCCAGAGCCTTCGCTGCTGGTCCCGTCCAGCCCAGAGCCTTCGCCGCTGGTCCCGTCCAGCCCAGAGCTTTCGCCACTGATCCCGTCCAACTCAAGGATGGTTCCCGAGCCTGTCCCAGAGCCTGTTCCAGACCCTGTCCCAGAGCCTGTCCCAGAGGCTATTCCTGAGTCTGTCACTCCCCCCAAGAATTTTTTTTTTGAGGGGGGGGGGGGGCTATATGTCCTCACTGTCGCCGCCCAAAGGCCCACGCCCAAAGGTCCTCTCTGCTAGGACCGCTTGCACTGCCTGCTCCGCCCTGGCCGCCTGCACTGCCTGCTTCGCCCTGGGCGCCCGACGCTCCATCGCCATCCATCAGGGCTAGTTGATTCGGCAGGTGAGTTGTTACACACTCATTAGCGGATTCCGACTTCCATGTCCACCGTCCTGCTGTCTATATCAACCAACACCTTTTCTGGGGTCTGATGAGCGTTGGTATCGTGCGCCTTAACCCGGCGTTATGTTTAAAACGGCAAGCGTTGGGGTACCCGTCAAACGTCGTCACAGATGCTGACAATAAATCGTACATTCGTGAGTATTTTGAAAAAGAGGCGATATGTCTTGACCCCGAGAAGATTGAGCACAACCCTGCTCAGAGGGCTATCAACAAGTTATTGTTGAATAGCCTCTGGGGGCGGTTCTCAAAGCGAGATGATCATTATAACCATTATGGTGAATGACCCTGAAGAATTCACCAAAATAGTTTTCGGCAAAACCGACACATTGTCACGTTTCAGACAAATACAATGTAGATTGATTACTCAATCAAGATTCGTTGAAGTATTACACGTTTGCACACAATGAATACACAAAAATCTTTTTTCATTAAACCCATACGGACTTAATCTCTGCACAAAGAGCGATACCATTTTATCATTTTTAATATAATCATGACTATACAGGTTCATCACATCGATGAGGGGGGAGTTATCGAAACTGTCGAAAAATCAAACTAGTCCATATTGAGTCGAATAAATAGCGAGCCAGTGTTCACCCGGTAGGTGGGAAGGGTGTGTATTAATGATACACATCGACGGTAAGTTCCTTAAAGATTTTTTAGGTAGTTGATCGCTCAGGAGAACTCAGAGAAAATGAGTGTTGCATGTGATTTTATCCATGATTGCCGTGATTTCAATAGTAATCGACCAGGACATTTCTAGGGTAAGACACTTCAACGATACTGTCAAACACAGCGTAAATTATCAGGTTAATAGTATGCAGCAGCGGTTGTCTGAACCGGGCTTCGAGTCTAATATTCCCGGACTTTATGAGGGATATGTGCTGACCACAGTCTTTATCAGGCTTGGTCAAAGGCGTAAAGCGTGTACCCGTTCAGGAAATCACTCCTGTCAATAGAGAGTGCCTGGTTTTTTAAGATGTCTTCCGGTCATCATTGCAAGCTGATAAAATTCACAAACAGCCAACCCTGCTTCAAAATTCGGTTGTAGAGGTTTGGTAGGGAATTGTTGTCCGTCAACGTAGACCGCTAGGAACTCCAAATCATAATGTTTGAACGCAATGGGTTTTTATCGTAGGCCCCTGTGAAAGCATCGTTATCGACCATGGTCAGGACGATAGATTTTGGTAGCGTTCCTAAAAACAGATTTTCTTAATTTGAAACGCGAATCATACCCCATCTAGACAAACCCGATCTATGGGGTATTTGGCGTTAGTCTAAAGGAATGCCTGAGCATGCCCCAGTCTCACGGGGAGTGAAACAGAGACTTTCTTGATATGCTGACACAAAATTTAATTTGTAGTATTATTTTTTTCTTGAAAGAAAATATCACTGTGAATAGGTGCCAATAGCTCCACCTCCTTACTCTCGCTTGTGTAGCGCGATCGCTTCGTCTACCCCGCGTTACGGCCAACTGGGTCGTTCACATCCATGTAACTGGCTATGTCTTTGTAAAACAGACCTGCTGAGAAAAGTGATTCCAACGCATCTTTACTGTAGTTCATCAGACTCTCAATGATTCACCTGTAAGGATAGGCGCTCACACTCTGGGATATAAGTCGATCGCAGAGGCTCACATCAACTTGTGAAAATATAGTGGCTCCGGGGAAGTGTATTAGAGCTACCCTTGCAGGGTCTGCGATGTCAGCGCCGTTAGGTTTTGTGATTTTAAGTTGTAGATATAAGAACGTATTATTTAGATTGACATAATCTTCACCGTTCCAAGCTATGAAAGTAGAACAGTGGAACCGTAAATAAGTCCAGACTTAATACATTCTCCTGACATGCGGTGCAGTAATGCCATGTTAGAATATTTTTTATGGATCGCTTAACCGTCGCTTTTCGACTCGCAGACTTCTTACGCCTTCTACGTACGACTGAGCGCTTCTTTGGCCCACACTTTGTTTTCTTCTTTATCCGATGACCACGCCTCCTTACACCCGGCGGTTTAGACATTCTCTTATGGGCCATGACCATCAGACCGGATCCGTCTTGAGCTTTAGCATTATTCCTATACGATTTCGACAATGCGTTTGAGATGATGTCTGAGACTATATTTTGGCAGCAGATTTTAGGTGGGGTTTCGCGATGCTAAATCCTCTTTTTAGCAGCGGTATGGCCATCCTAAACAGCCCTCTGAAAATATCTCCTAGCCTGGCCATACATTGGCCATACATAACTCCTCCCCCTGAATATCCTGGTAGACTTCCACCTCCCTGATTTTGGTAATAGTTAACATATTCAGCAGCATTCGTTTTGCAAGGGTTATAATAATAACTAATTTTAAAGAATATAATGTTTTGATGGCTTAAAGTGTAGTTTTACGACGACTTTCCCGTAAGAAAACTTCAATTAAATAGATATTACTCAACCTTTTACTAGCCAAGTTAAAATTACTTATTTTCTTTGTTACTTTCACTTAACTTAGTTAAGTAGGTTACTTAATCCCATATTTGAAATTTACTTAAAAATATGTGTGCAAAAACTTTACTAATTTTTTTTTTTTTTTTTCAGTGTACATGTGCAAAAGAGTTGCATTCAAAAGTCAGATAATAATAAATCAACGTGTTTTCCCCATAGACTGTCCATCCCAGATCTGCTGTTCACCATTCGGGCTCTTCTGAATGAAAGAAAATGTCCTCAGTAGTCAATAGATACTAACCAGTCTTTTTTTTTCTGTTACAAGATGGATTATATAAGTCGTTTCACTGATTATTTGGACCATTTGTAGTGTTGATTTATGTAAATGTGTGTCTTATTTCTGTTGAAGCCACAGCAAGACGCCACAGTAAGATGAAGCACAAGCTAAACTTTACTCAACTTTTGTCCCATCGCTGGACACTTCCACATCACAACTACCAGTGAAAATGAAACGCATCTTAAGAGTTTCCATTTTGCAGAAAGTAATGGATTATATTCATGAGACATGAATAACAGTCCATGTGTAATTAATAAATGAGTTTAGAGTTGTTTCTGTAATATTTCATACATTTTAACTGTGTATTAAAGGGTCCATGTGACAGATTTTTCTCTTTATTCCTTTTCAAATAAAACCTTAAATGATAAAAAGGTATGAATATTCAACATTC